CTTGTCAAGGCTCGATTCATGGCAGGGGAGTTGTACGCACTATCCTCGTCACTCGTAGATTACATAGCAACAGACCCGGTGGTGGCGTCCACTGTACAAGGGAAAGAAGACCAGTTGGTATGTCAACTTCATCGGAGCCTAGTTCCAACTAACCCACAACCTTAGACTGCACGTTGGTTGCGAATTCATCCTCGGGCAAGCGATGTTCGTTGGCGAAGCGAGCGCTGTTGGATATATGATCATCCTCGAGCTGGTACTGTATACTCGCATGGGTTTTTGTTCCCTTCGGAAGTCGCTCGTATTCGTCACGAAACAACACACGGTTCAAGTCCTGCGGAGATCCACCTTCTCCCAATGTCTACATCGTCCGCTGATCCTTCACTTACGCACTCGACTGTTTCGAAGTTCGGCTACCCGTATAAGGCGCCATCCTCAAACTTGACTACGGACCAAGAAGTTGAAGCTCTGATTGAAGGTTCTCCCCTTTCTCGGTTGAGGGATGAGACTTTGGGGGGCTGCTCAGGGGAGGCGAGTGCCCAGGAAGTTGCCAGTGCATGGAGACGAAGAGAGACGCGTGAGCAGCGGATGGGAGGCGCCTCTCTTGGTGGAACTATCGTCGTGCACTTCATCAAGCGCAATGAATGGTTCTTGGAGACGGCTATTGCGTTCCTGCATGATGATCCGAAGGACGAGTCTGCCCCTGCACACGGCTCGTCAACTACTTCCGAACCCTCCCCTGTTGCAGGGGATTCAGATGGCATGCGTGCGGAGACGGATCTAAATAACAAAGTCCCCATCGACTTGTCGAATCTCGATCCCCCTCCCGGACTGGGACCAAGTAGGACCGAAACAGATCTGAGCAATCACACCCCCATTGATTTATCTCATTTGGATGATTACGTCGCACCTAATCCACCGCCATCAACCCCTCAGCCTGGCCGCATTGCGTCCGATTTGCAGCACAAGACACCGATCGACTTGTCTCACCTGGATCCCATCGATTCCCCAGTCTCTGAGCCGCTCGAGGACTCAGAGCAACCTGTGATATCAGATGACAATGTCATGTCTCCGTTCGGCACCGAGATAATTCGGCAGTAAAGCGTGTATCTTGCCAAGCATTATACCTGCACTTGTGATTTATTGTTTTCTTCAAACCTGCCTACAATCGTTGAGAACCCTACATTCATTTTTCTTCAACCCAACTGGGACTATTCATTTTGCTCAGAAAAAAGTGTGGTGTGGTGTATATATTAGGGCCATTTTAGGTCACCATGCTAGAGTGTGTGCTCTGCATCGCGGTTCACCGACACAGCATGCATGAATTTAGATCACACATTCTGATTATCTGTTTCAGGGTACATTCTCCATGTTATGGTACAAGTTGTGTTGGAGAGATACCGTCTATAAGGCTTCCGTCTATGGGGTTGGATATTCCTCCATTATGACATTCATCGGCAGAGGAGATAGAACGATATTCCAAGGGGCCACAAGCTCCATGATTAGTCAGTAGAGCAACTTCGTACTCCAAACCCGATGATTTCGATGATTTCGATGAAGTTGAAACCGGCAGTCTCAGGGCACGTTGCATCTCTGTCATAGTGCTCGCTAAAGTAGCTGGACAGAGATAATGGTGTACTGGCATTATGCGAAAGATATTGCTGAACAAACGATCCACGGAGACAGCACACTTCTCGTCCAAAGGTTCGGTGATGTTGGTCCTATGTTTATTCTATGCAAGTAGTCTACGTAGTCAGTGGTTGATGCGCACAAGAAACCGATCTGACCAGCCATATCGATGCTTAGTCATTTGCCCCCTGCCTCTAAACCGATGCCGGATAGAATCCAGCCTCCAGAGACTGTGCCTGTATATTACCATCGGATGGTCGTCTCGGTCACCGAAGTTGTGGAAATGGACTGGCAGTGTTGGACGGGCCAAGAACTGTCTCTGCTAGCGCAGAGTATCCTAGCTTGTGGAAGGGCGCAATATAAGGCACGAAGTAACAACAGGGTCGATATTGTAACTCACAAGGAGTAATTCTGGTCATCTAATGACAGGATCCGGTACCCATGATGCGAGGAGCAATAAGAAATGGAAGTGAATTGAAGACCCCGTCACTATTTAGTATTTTTTATGCAACACTCAGAAAAGTCTAAGTGAGGTCTCCTTGCATAACGCAATTCAGTTACCGAAATAGGATCACAGGACCCGCTACAGAGTGGCGGAGCGAGGCCCCCTACGATAATGGCTCAGGCTTGACTGACTGACAAATCAAGGTGAGGTCCCCAGTCCCCAGCCCAAGTCTGATGTCTTAACTGCTGCCTTTTTTTGGTCACGCCTTAGCCCGGCCAAATATTGCTAGCAGCACAACCAACACTCTTCGCAACGAGTCTTGCGATTGTATCTCGTCATTAGCGAACTCTTACACCCTGTCCAAAGACAGACTTGAAGGAAAATCGTCAATCTAAATGATGACAAACTATTTGACAGCGGAGCGGGCTTGCCGAACACGCCCGCGGACTGTCAGGGTACAAGTGACCCTTCAACTTTGCATGTTTATAAAAGCCGCTCGAATGACCTATTCTGTGCAACCCCTCAAGTGTACAACTCGTCGTTTTTGACACTAGTGGGGAAACGCCCATAATGTTTACCAGGCGCTCGCTTGCTTTCCTTCTTGCCCTCCCATCCGTTCTCGTATCAGCCGCGGACCCAGCTCAGCAGCCTGTCCAGGGGGGATGTGGTCCTGGTGTCTGTGATCAACTGGGGTGTGGGGGCTACCAACTGGAAAATTATCCTATTACGACAAATTATCAACAAGTCATGACGGGACCGGAGCCGTGGCCTACACCTGATGGCGCAAGTATCGTTGGTTTTGGAGAGGTGGATGGTGTTACGACCGTTGTTTTCGAAGCGACGAAACCTGCTTATATCGCTGTGCCTACTAACCCACCTAAAGACGGAGGTAAATGGACGGTTGTTGAGGAGGCCGTGACCATTCCCAATGGCCCTGGAAATACGTTGACCATCACGAGTCATGCGTTGACGACCGTTCCTGCGTGTCCCACTCCTTCGACGATTACGTCGACTACTACGACGGTGTTGCCTCCTGTCACGACGACTGTCGATCGAGTGGATTATCAGACATCGGTGAGTTACTAGTGTTCTTGCCCGAGTCAGACGCAACGCCTCAACATGCTCTATACTGCGACCAGTACATCACCACTACGTCCACTGTTACTTCGAGGACGACGGACACTCAGTACATAACTCTTCCGCCCATCACCACCTTTTCGACAACCACGTTCTTCGCCACTCCAGTTACAGTTACGTCTTATGTGACCTTGCCACCTGTCACTTCAATTTCTTTAGTGACTCTTCCTCCGTTGACTGTCACTTCTACCATTACAACCACCGCAACAATCACTATACCCATCACGCCGTCACCTCCCACACCAACATGCACGCCTGCTGTTCTCAAGCCCTGGACCAATGTCGATATTTACACAAACAACCCCTTCCGCTTCGTAACCAATGATCCATCCCCACAGATCCTCAGTATCCAAGACGCGGGTTACAAGAAGGAAAGATACTCTGTCGTCGTCGACGGACAGCAGATTGGAACTACTTCCCCCATTAACCCTGACTCGGGCGTTTGGTGCGCTCTCACCCCCGCCGCCAAAGACACTTGTGAAGTCAAAGGCCTCAGTAAAGGACAGTTCATCATCCCCCCCGGATCGCACGTTGTCGAAATCGTCAATATCCTCGGAGTTGTCAATAACCCTGATGCCTACTCGACTATATTTTACCAGCTTGAGCGTCAATGTACTTTTACTATCCCTCCTCCACCTCCATGCTCGCAAAGGCCTGTTCAGGATGTGGCGGTTGTCGATGTTTACAAGAATAACCCTTACAATTTCTCCTTCAACTTCAACTTCCCCACCAAGTTGACGGTAATGGATGCGGGTTACCGTGCCGAGAAGGTAGGTGAATTCCACGCTTCCTTAAGAAGGGAAGCTCATCTTATCTTGTGCAGTATAAAATCTCGATAGATGGAGTCCTCGTAGGTGACACAGACGCATACGCCATCAATCGCCTCGTTTGGTGTGGTATCACTCCCAATACCTACCAAAACTGCCTGAACAGTCAAATGAGCAAAGGAGAATTTGTTGTACCTGCCGGCGTACACACCGTCACCGTAACACTGGAAGCGGGCGGTGAGTTTTTTTTTTTTTTTTCTTGTCTTTTTCTTTTTCCGTGAGATGGCTGAACGCTAATTTGCGAATCGAACAGTTTTCGAACCAACTTGGACGTACAGTACGATATTCTACAAGATTGACACCTACTGCCCATCTTAAGTCCATACGACGGGGTGGGTAGCATCTGTCACTTGGACCTGCCCACCCCAAATTGCGAGTTCATTGGAATCGTTTGTTCATCACTTGACATGTACGACACGAAATGATAATTGCTTGGCCGCAATTAATACAAATTTAAAGCTTCTAAATGTGCGGGTGCCAATTCCCTTCCAAACGAGGAAGTGTATATGCAGGCAACGGTTCTGTAAACAGTGCGATCCTAAGCACCTAGTACTCGTGACTCAGTCAATATAAAGAGGTGTCTGGGGTGTACCAGCCATCCTACCGTCTTAGATAGTAGATAAGCGTCTGAGTAACTGCACTGGTGCACTGGTGATGGGCGAAAATAAACGAGGAATAAGTTTTTACGGAGGGGCCCGAAGGGCCCCAGAAGCTCTGGGGTGCCCGTGACCAGTTTTTTCAATTACAATGCTTTACGCAACACTTCATCAGCGTTGCTACATCGAATGAATTGTCGGCATCGACTTCCGACGCTTCGTCATCGCTGCCGTCGCTGCCGACGCTGCCAAAGTCGTTCTCTCCCATTTTTGCTCACTTTTTTTTTGTTCTTTCTTGTACTAGCGTGTTTTTTTTCTCGCCTCTTCACTGCCATTATGGTCCAACTCCCCATCAATATATAACAATCGTTAAACAGACTCTAAGTCCATAGCTTCTAGCGCGTTCACGATTCTTCCAATGACATGATGATAATCATCGTTATTGCCATCAACATCTTGATTCTCATCCTCCCAGTCAACAGCATGAAGGTCCTGCGATGCACCTGATACCGTGTCTTGAAAGTCATCTCCCGGCGTTATAAGGTCTTGGGTGTTTGTTGGAATACTGTCTGGTGGGGCGGAGTTAGGTACTGCTATGTTAATTATGCTAAGGAAGTGCTGCGATATGAATAGAATGAGAATTCAACTTACTGCTAGGGGTTGAGGCATGAGTCTGGACTGTGTCTGCCGTGGCACCAGGATCTCCCACATTATGAGCGGTGGGAAGAGGCGTGCCAGTGCCACCTTGCTTCTCCAGGAGTTTCAGTTTGGAACGAAGGTGGCCATTCACATTGAGTCGGTATTCAGAAATGAGTACGATGTACTTGGATAGGTCGGGATACGTAGACTGAGTAGCCTTGATGATTCGATCCAGGTGGGCCTCCTCCTCACTCATAAATGCCCATATCCGATGAGCTTCAGTGCCAACAATCTCGATCTCTTCACGGGCACGTTGAAGTTTATGCCAGGCACGTGTCACTTCGCGGAAGTGGTGTTTGAACCATGGTTTCTCTCTGATATCTTCTCGGCCACGTAACAGAACGATGTCGGACAGGAAGTTGAGGTCCGTGACATCTTGCCATGTAAGCGCTGGTTTGGGAGGATCCATAGAAGTGGCCAAGTTGTTGTACTTTTGGAGTACCGAATCCAATGACTTCCCTCGCTTGGCCACCAATGCGGAAATTTGCTGTCGAGCCTTATAGTCTACATGAATGAATGAGGCAAAATGTAATCTGAATAACATAGTCCTCACCTGTTTTTGGCAAACCGATCTTCTCAAGTTCCAGTTGGCGTGATATGGCTCACTGCTCAAGTTCATCAAGAACTTGATGGTAGTCCCGTCGTTGGCGCAAAACCAAAGCTTCGTGGCGCTGAAGGGAATCAGGTGTCCAAGGAGTGGTGAGTGACGACCTAGCCTCTATTGCCGAGGCAGCTAGACGGGCAGTGTTGAGAGTTTCGTTCGCCTGAGCCAGGTGCTGGCCAATATGTGGCATTGCAGCCTGCATTGTCCAGTAATGCATGGTTGCCCTAAAATAGAACAATTTCAAGGCTACATAATAAATAAAGGTTAACAACCACTTACTCAGCATGCTCGACATGTTCGTTGGCTTCCAAATACTCAATCTTGATTTTTTCGTTGTCAGGTTGGGATCGAGGGACAAAATATAATTGCGCTCCTCAGATAACCACTGTGGGCAGTCTTGGTCAGGGTCGAAGTTGGGGGATAGCTGCTGAGTGGCGTTGAGGGTTTTTTTACTATCACTAATGATCCTGCTGGCAGATTTGAAGTTGCTTAACAGGAAATCGCCTATCAAAGTACAACATCATGAATGATTAGAACATATATGTAGTAAAAGAGATGCACCTAGTTTTTCGTATTTGGTTTCGTCCCATTTGGAGAAATGGATATGGATTCGAAGGTGGCGGTAATAAGGAGATGCATGACGAATGACAGGGGCAAGAGCATTGCTCTCTGAAAAGACGCGTTCATTTCCCTCACCGTCTTCTATACCTGCCCCTTTCTGTAAACCAATAAGGTAGTCTAGCTGGCAGGATCTGTCGTGAGCAGCGCCATGAAAAGAGCCAGTACAGCACCTAAAATTGGCTTCTCTCGCCAAATCCCCAATCGATGATTTTGATAAAGTTGCTGAGAAGGTGCACCCAACATCATACGCAAATAATATGTTCTTTCCAAACGTGCCTATGAGCTTCTCAGTAGAAGCCAATGGGTATTTCGCTCTGTGACAACGTTAGCCAGACCACAGATATCGGAGGTTGTTGCTCACAGCTCTCCACTTTGAACTATATCAGCGAGGAACTGCACAATCCCGTGCCGACAGACAACTGAAAAAATACCTGTTTCATCCATAACTTGCAGAGCTCCAGCCTTTGACTTCGATGGGATTGGCCGGGCATTCTTCCAAGCCAAGCAGGCATCCGATATAGTTGACACCGATGGGTCCTCTTTTGTCTATAGAGTAAAAAGGTCAATAATTGTTGTATGGTTGCAAAGGATACATTTACCTCACTTGATGCTCCCCGTCGTGAATGCTTTTGAGCGCTAGCAAACCGGTCAACACTTTCTCGGGAAATGAAGTAATCGCTGACAAATCTGCAAGCATCGCCCTCGAAGTGATGACGAAGCCGTGAGAGGGATGTGTTCCCATCGCCAGTTACGATAAACTGAACAGGGCGCTCTCGCTCATTCTCGACCTGAAAGGCCAAACTATTAAGATATGTGCTACAGCTCTCTAATGATATTACTTACTTTATGGTGGCAGGCAGGGCATGAATGCTTGAGACGATGATCCGGTACATCATGTCCGAGTTCTCGCTGAACCAACCCATGCAGTTGAGACAAGATGCGGTAATACACGTCAAATGCGAGTGAAAGTTGCGTTTTCAGATGATGCTGGAATACAGTCTAATGTTCTACATGAGTGAATGAGAATGAAATGACGAAAGATGTGTATACCTTGTGCATATCAGTGAGCAATCGAGAAAAGCTCTGAAGACCAAAATTTGATGCCACCCGGAAAAGCGAGTGGAGGAGATCAAGTGTTCGCAGGGAGAAGGCCACCTGAGGGTCCGTTGGCGTTGGGGGAAGGTATCCGGCACGCAAGAGCACATGCACGCGGTTGTCTGTCCCACCCCAAGGTATATATTCACGCGAACGACCATCTGCAAGGTAAAAATAAGGATGGACAATAAATACAATATAATATAACTCACCAAAGATGTCGATACACCATATCTCGACGTAGTTGCTATCTGGCAGGGTGTCATATCCATGCATACCCGACCCCGACCCGACTTCCGGACCTCCACCCTCTTCACCTCCGGAGTCATAACCTACCGCTGCCGTTCCGATACTCACCTTCGGTCCTGGCAACACACCTCCTCCTTACCTCTTCGACCCCATCTCCATCCGCTCCGATACTCATCTCGGACCGAACACCGCCCCTCTCGCCACCCTCCTACTACTCCGCTCCCCCTTCACAACACCTCCACCCTCCCGTCATCCTCCTACACTTCCCCCGTCTGCTCCGATACTCACCTTCGGACCTGACTACTCTCCTTTCCGCCACTCCTTCTCCCTTACCTTTCCCCTCTCTCCTCCCTCTGTTACTCCTCCGCCACCCTTCCGCCAAGTTACGACCTTCCACCGCTGTTCTGTACTTCGCACTCGGACACCGCTCGTACTCCAAGCCTCCATCATAGTCCCTACCTCGGACTTTGACTCCACCTCGGTCTTAGTCCATTGCATTGGTGACCTCATACTACGTAAACACCATTGCCAATATCCCTCGGACTTTCAACCCCGCCTCCGTAACCTCCGTAAGCTCCGCAACCCCCGAGCTTCGCGGATTGCCTTCGGCACTCTCGCCGCTTGTAATGTATTTCTCGCATTTTCCCCTCATCCCTATTTGGACTACTGCTTCTTCCTATTCTAGCCAGTTAGTCATCATCCCCACTTCCCTTCATCCTCCTGCCCCTCTGGGCCTCATCCTCCCTACCTCTTTTTGGACGTATCACAGGTCCTGCCTTATGACCTTCGGTACCGCTCCGCTTCTTCTACCCTTTGTTCCCTTTCGGACGTCTTCGTTCCGATTCGGTTACCCTTTGTTTTCCTTGTGCTTTTGCCCCTTCCATTATATATATCGGCGCTTGTACATACTCATTTTGGTTTAGTCCGAAATCGACCTGAAATGCCCCCTAGAGACTTCCTGCTCACCTACTGTGAAATTAAGGACCAAATGGACAAACAGCAATGGCACAGCGCTCCGCTTGAGTCGCTGAGGCCAAGGTCCCTCCACGCTAAGTCTCCGATTCCACTCCGGAGTCGTCTGTTCCCGCCCGGTTCTAACACAGGGGTTCTAGGTAATGCACTGGTGCACGGGTTGGATTGGCTGTCTTAATAGACAGATAAAGCGTTGTGAGAGAGTCAAGTTGCTCAGTCCATTGTGCATGAAGTCTGGACATCCGGGTACTCCACTCGTGGCCCTTCTTCCGCCTGAACGAATAGTTTGGAACGGTCACTGAGTCGATTAAAGATGAGAAGAACTCATGGCTTTGGGGCTATCATTGATATCAGTTGACATAACTAAGCCCAACATCCTCAAGCAGATTTAGTTGATCTCCCACGGGTTTGTCCTCCCAGTTGTCAACAATTTCTCCTACAGGCCCTCCATCTTGGATCTCTGAGAGCCCATTGATAACAGCTTGTGAGGTCGCTACCAGCCACAAGATTGTAAGATGAGATAAGGCAATGTCCAGTGGTCTCAAGCTTACTTTTCATCAATTCATCATGGGCCGCGTCCATGGCTAACCGTGCCTTTTTGAGTTTCACTGCACCACTCGGGGAAAGGGATAGAGAGTCCGTTCCCAAATTGGTCATAACTATAGTGTGCTTGCGCCTTCTCACCATCCTGATCCTGCAGGGCAAACTCTTGAGAGTTCAACATAATTTGAAGGAGAGCGCTTACCAAGATATGAACGCAGAGATGGTTGAAGTTTGAGGGAACGATTGATGTGTATGGACCACCTATAGAGGAGGCAGGGAAAGGGGGGGAGCTTGGTCAAAGAGTCGATAATCGTCACGTCAGTTGGGTTGGGTTACAATACAGAACGTGACACACGATTTTAAGTGACAATTCAGTTCTGGTCGTAACAATCCAACATTACTAGTCGCGCAACCACAGAACAACTATCATTCAACATGTATCGAATGAACAATGAGGATAAGGAGGATGGTAAGCACATGGGTAGTTAGTTCGGAGATGATTCACTCACATTAACAGAGCTAAACTACTTAAAATCGTCGCGGCTAGCTGCTGAGTGTGTGTTTGAGAGCTACATTCAAGCAAGCCATCGGCTATACACCTTGGATGACAAAGAAGTGGAGCTCTTCAAGAAAAAACCGAGTGACAGCTATGTCCTGGACTATACCATGGCATGCAAAGTGAACGGTGAGTATTTTTTCATTCATAAACATATATACTCACAATGATGCAGGACAGTCACCCAAGACAGTGCAACCGGACCTGAAAAATATTGAGGGGATTATTCCAAGAGAGGTATTTACGCAAGAGATGGCACGTATGGTAAAGGACAGCCTCTTGGCTCCATTGTTAGAAGTGCGCACTCTGATGTGGGATATTCGCGCATTGGTGAGTAGTTCTTAATCTTGTGATAAGCTACAAACCTGAACTGTAGGAGAGACCTCCATCTTAGACCGTCTGGGGCACCACAGTGTTGCGCTATTCGATTATGAGGGTCGAAAAGCACCCGTCAACATCATTTCCTCAAAAAAAATCGAAGGCCAGGAAGGATGGCCACAGTTGAGATTAGAACTCCTAGACGCATTCTTGAAAATCCCTCAGTCCGTTAGTGCACCTGTGGTTCAGATGACCATATCCCGCTCCGAAACTGGTCAATGTCATATCCATACAATCCTGACCTCCGCTCCGGGCTCCCGGAACTCCGAACTCCGACTTCCGGAGCCCTACTTCCCTTCCATCACCTTCTCCTTGCCGACTCCCAAGAGGTTATCCCACCTCCGGCTCAGACACCACCTTCGGTCCGACTCCGGAACATTCCGGGTCCGACCCCAACCTCGACACCTTCCAGACAAGTACGCAAAACCTATGCTCCTGACTCCGGACCTCCGCTCCGGTATCCCGTTCATGTCTCGTCTCGGAACCTCCGGTCTTAGCTCCGACCTCGGACTTTGACCCCACCTCCGCTTATACCCATTGTATTGGTTAGCTCATTCCATTTAATTACCTTTGCCAATATTCCGGAGTTTAACCTCCGAGTTCGGACTTTCCGGACTTACTCCGGACCTTGCAACTATTGCATTGTCCATTTCAATTCCGCTATTCTCCCTCATTCCTATTTGGGCTGCTGCTTCCTTTCCATTCAGTCAGCTAGCCATTCCCGACTCCCATCCTCCTTCCTTCCTTCTTGGGCCTTGGCCCTTCATTCCTCCTTTGGGAAACACCATTGAGTCAAACTCTTGACCCTCGGTGTTGTTCCTCTTTCCATCTCCCTTTGTCTCCTTTTGTCCTACCCTTGTTCCTTTTGATTCCGGACCCCTCCTTATATACAATGTACCTAGTAACTTGTAACCTCAGTCCGAAATCGACATGAATTCCCCCATGTCAGGGGACGCGCGTGCTCGCACAAGATGCTCCGATAACCTAGTTGTGATTAAAGCCGGGGGAAAGGGATGTCCCCATCTTAGGGTCAGCTATATACAGGTAGAGTCCGGCAATAAGGAAACCAAACAGATTGCCGATAGAATCACGTGATCATAGAATGTTCCAGAACAATGCCGGAGATGATCCGGGTCACCGGGGCTTAGGTAAGCGGAGTAGACGGGAATTACCGGCATACTTCCCACGCGCATACGCGCAGCTGGCATAGGGTCCAGGGTCATTGCTGATCCCTGACACCCCAAGAGACTTTCCCTCTGCTAGATCCGAAATTAGGGACCCCTAGGACAACCAGCAATGGCACAGCGCTCCGCCTGAGTCGCTGAGGCCGAGGTCCTTCCATGCTAAGTCTCCGATTCCATTCCGGAGTCGTCCGAATCTGCACAGTTCTAACAGTCAAGACAGTTCCACTTCTGTGGAACAAACGAGTACGACACAGGCAGCAGCAAACACAGTCTCTACACCGACCCATTCCAAAGTAGCCCGTTCTACAATGACCAATTCCATTGTCAGCAAGGGCAAGGACAGTTCTGAACGCCCATTTACACCATCACTTGCCTTCAAACTACCTGATCCAAACACCATTATGCCTGCGCCACCCATGCCCCTAACTCCCAAGAAACAGAAGCAAAGTTCAGCTACTGTTTCGTCCAGCTATTGGGAGAAGGTCGAGCATGGATCCATTGACACTCACATGGTCAGTGATAGCCTCTTTAGACTTTTGCTTGCATCCAAGACCGATATGCCACACAGCAGTGAGTCTTCTGTGGCCACAGATTACTCAGGCATTGAGCTGTCCTTCTTCACTGTAGCCAACCGTTGGGTCAATTTCCCAGTCCCTGTCACCCCTACACGATCACCATTAACTTGCCAAAACCTGGAAGCCCTGCAGCAGGGAGGAATGAATTTGGACTCACCTATTCCAAGCGTAACACCATCTTCAAACCGCTTGACAGCCCAATCAGTTAGCATGCCTAGTTCATCGTGCCATGCTGTCGAGCCTTACGAACTTCCTGATAACGATTGAGAGCTTAGTGAAACAGACATAAGCCTCATCATTCTTTTGGCTCAAGCCAAAGAGTTCAATGAAGCCGGCTTTTACAACACATTGGTCAGACGCTTTTATCGTACGCCAGGTGAGGCATACCTACTCACATGGATGGCAGCAGTGAGCCGAGGAGCGTCAACAGGTTGATTGCATAAATGTAAATTAACCATAAATTCGCCAAAAAAAAAAAGGCTCCATTCAGATTTATTATTAAATTCGACAGGCACATACCCAACCATCAAACTGAATGGCCCTTGATTTGTTGTTGTTTGTTCAGTTGTTCAGTTCTGTTCGCGTTTGGCAGGTCGCTCGAAGATGTCAATGCCACTAACAGCACAAGGTAAGCTCACTCCAAGGGCAACTAATAGGACTTACCAATGTAGCGAATGGTCCCAGCAGATAAGTGGAGGGAGAGGGATCTAGTGAAGCAGGCATTTAATGCCCAAGTCATTCAGCTGAAGGCAGATTTTGAAAGCCGCGTCTCTGCTATTGCGCTAGAGTTCTCAGGCCGTGGACGCCACTATTCCAAGCATCAAATTCGCAGCCAGATAATCTATAACCTATCGAAACCAAAGAAGACTCGTAAGCCAATGCTTCGCAATGCATGGGCCCATGCTGAGGCTGAGGCCCGACGTTTGAAAGGTAAAGTTTGACTTACGTGAACTCAGACTACATGCTTACGAACGCTCTATCTAGAGGGCACATTGCCAGCCTTGCCCTACAAGGAGGAGTACCTTGAGCTCCTTGGGGAAATCAACGAAAAAATATCACATATGAGGACATAGGAAATCCTAGGACCCCAACGGAAGAGTACCATGCACAAGTCATCCTAGATGGAGTTATGACTAAAAGGACAAACCGTGCACTAAAAGAAACGATAATCTCACCTGAATTATCTATGAATTCCATTGCAACACATGCGCGGGACCAACTGATAAACATAGTATGTGTTCAATGCCTAAAATGAGTGCAAGGTTCTAGTACTAAAAAGCAACAGGCGAAATCAGTTCATGAATCATGCGATGTCGAAGTGGTTGTTATGATGACTCGAGGACACTTGAAAGACTTATTCTCGCCAGTTTTCTGGGCAACAGATAAGGCGAAGTACTACTGGGGAGTTGTGGCAAAAATGGACATGGCAGCGCAAGTTCGCCTTATGGAGGCACATGCAATCGGCACATTAGACAGTATGTAGCTGAACCGTCTCTTGACTACTCACCAACATGGGGTGTAAGGTGTGGCGAAAGCCTACACAGCGAAAGCCAGGAACATGCGCTCCGAAATGGCCGAGATAACCAGAGAGAGTCTCCGTGAGTGACATCGTCTCAGTATTCCAACATGCACTGACCAAATACGAAGACGAATTGACTGGGAAGCCAAGATTATCGATGGAATGGGTGCCAGCAAACTATTTGAAACTCACTATCAAACATTGTGTCGCGATTGACATGACCAATTACCCAGATGGCAAACTGATCGAACCAAAGCTTGCTAACGTCGATCACTTGCGCCAGGTACTCGATGGATGGAAGAATAACAAGATCAAGTGGGTCAAATTAACCGATGAACAGGTGGAAGAGAGGTGTGAGGAGCTCGCTGCACTTACCTCTACTGGCGCCGAAGTAGCATCCACGTGAGAATCTCAAAGTGCAGGACCCACACCAATAAACTAAATTTCCATACATAGGCCGAGTTCCGGGGTCACAGATGGCAGGGTTGGAGAGGAAGGCCTAAGGTCATCTGTGAATGTCAGTTCCGGGTTGGTATATTCATTTTTTCCCCAGAGATGCCATCAAGGGTAGGCTGGCACTGACTGTTACTCACCATACTCTAGATCGACGGCCCCAGCTACCTCCCTATCGCCTTCCCAGTGTGACGCCACCCAGATTCCAACCCAACCGCCAGCAGAGGAAAGCGGACAAGCGGTGACCGCCATGTAAGCTCTTATTCACTACACAAAGCTACTGACTGATTGAGTGATATCAGTCGAGGTCGCAAACGTAAAGCCACGCAAAGTTCTGAACCGCGAAAGAAGAAACAACCCACATCTGCTGGCATGGCAGGCTCACAGCTTGGAAGAGAGTCAGGATAAAGTTTTTCCCCCACCACGTGTCCCCAACCAAGTAACCCAGCGCCATTACATTCATTCCATATTGCAGAGTTGTTCGAAGCAAGTTCAGTCTGCACAAAAAAGGCAACTCGCCTCTGTAAACAACCCACTCAGTAATCCAAAGTTGTGTTGTCATTGTATTGCTTGGTGGTGGCAAGTTTGAGAATAAGATTACAAAAGAAGAACGACATCTAAGCTTGAACCGTGAAGGAGATGACAACAACACATGATACCACAGTTTTTCAGCAGTGAAGAGGCGAGAAAAAAACACGCTAGTACAAGAAAGAACAAAAAAAAAGTGAGCAAAAATGGGAGAGAATGACTTTGGCAGCGTCGACGGCGATGGCGGCGATGACGAAGCATCGGAAGTCGATGCCGACAATTCATTCGATGTAGCAACACTGATGAAGTGTTGTGTAAAGCATTGTAATTGAAAAAACTGGTCACGGGCACCCCAGAGCTTCTGGGGCCCTTCGGGCCCCTCCGTAAAAACTTATTCCTCGTTTATTTTCGCCCATCGCACCAGTGCACCAGTGCAGTTACTCAGACGCTTATCTACTATCTAAGACGGTAGGATGACTGGTACACCCCAGACACCTCTTTATATTGACTGAGTCACAAGTACTAGGTGATCCTAAGATGAAAGAGAGGGGTTACTTTAGTATGGAGGGGGAACATACCTTCTCACATTACTCCTGCCTTCGGTGCTTGACTGGAGAGAAAGATGGCCCGGAGAAGTGTCATTTGGAAGGTGAGCCACCCTCTGCATGGTTACTGACAAGGGGAGCGGATCTATCTGAAAATTCGGGCGGGGAAACAGCCAACATCCGCAAACATTATTGGTCGATTTGGGGATGGAAAGCTTCTATAGTAAAGGAGTTTGGCCAAGTACCACAATGTACGAAGTTGAACAGTTGCTTACAGAATGTGCGCTTGGAGGGAGTGATGCGACATGGTCTGCGACCGTCACCGATGCCACTTGAAACCGACTCCGGTACTCGCTTTTCAAGTGTACTTTGGGCAGCCACAGTGTGTCCTTGTCATGCTGAAAATGGTAAGAACCGAGTAGTGTCGTATCGAATGTGCTCGCAACAAAGGAATACTGGGAAGGGGATCAGGGGAGAAGACATGTCCAAGTAGAAAGAAAGCGTTATTTCATTCGTGAATGCCATCAAGGAACAAAATCCTCCCCCCCCCCCCAAATGCTGAGATTTTTGACGTTCGCCGTAGGAGGATGTGAACAGGAATATACAGGTCGATCGAGAAGAACAGACTGCTTGAGTATGTTTTGATGAAGGCTTGACACGTCAACGGAACGATGTCGAGCACGTAGTTATTAGAAATCATTTGGCATGTTTTCCGATGCCGAGAAAGAATGCGAGAGTTGAATCTTATCGTGTTTTCGCTGACTTTGGTCTTGAAGCCATAAACTTGCTGCTGCTAACGAAGCTGAATGAGGGCAAATATCTAATGGACATTGGAACTCCATTAAGAGGAGTATTGGTTGAACGTAGGCAGGACTCTAGCCTCTATGTTGTTATTTAATGGAGGTACGAGATTAAATTAGACTTGTGTGCGGTTGGACTAAGCGCTCTTTTTTCGCGCATGGCACATTACCCGGTGATGCCTTCATCTTATGCGCCGTACCCGCTGTCGGCCTTATGCATACTGTGTCTTCCGAGGCTACAGTCATGCCGATTCAGGTTTTATTGCCGCTGCATACCTGGGTTGATTTCTTCGGACGAATTCCATACGTGTTTATTCGTCCGCTCATGCTTCTGGGCTCTGGCCCTCTTATTCTTCATCCTCTGTTGAAGGCGTTTTCTTTGCCTCTTCCCTAGTTTCATTTTTTTTAGCTTGAAAAGCGTAGTTTTCTCTCGGAGTCCCTTACTTCCGGTAAGCGTTTCGGTCTCACTGAGCAGGGGGGGGTGTTGTGACCTCCGGTTACTCTCGGTGGGTTGGATCCCAAGTGCTTACTCTAGTTTTTCTAGGTTTCTTTATTTTCGGTTGTTCCCTTCCCAATCTCCATCCTTGTAAATTACCCGGCTCGTCTTCAATTCCAGAGGTTCTGGCATTTGCCGGGACTGTTGCCACGCTATTCTATTGCGTCTCCTCCGGCGTGCACACAAGACTTCGTAAAGTTGAACGAACAGTTACTGAGTGGAAAGGTCACATGAAAGATTTGTCCGGTAAAGCTACGTAATGGATGAAAGAGTCACAAGGCTGTATGAGAACACGTCATCAAATCCAGCACGTTTTACGTAATATCGGCACGCATGCCACGAAGGTGCCTGAGCGCAGTGTTGGGCAGACATGGTCCCAAATGGTCGCGTGGTCCGAAGTCCGAAGGTCTGATTCAGTAGACAACGTCTTTCCCATGGTCCGAATTGTCCCATCAGTTGTCTGTCGGCTAAAGCCGGGACCTCGCTAGTTCAATGTCGGCAGTGTCGGCAACGAGTTTCGCGGAAATAGCCGCAAGGTGATCACATGAGGCTCGGGTTATCCCTCGTCTGGTTGGAAATCGGCTACTCCCGTATTTCGGACCTTGAGACAATGGACCCTTGTCGGAAGCACAATCAGACCAAAAATGGTCTGATTGGTGGTCTGATCGTGTCAATGCCAACACTGCCTGAGCGCGCAATATATATTGATGACGTTGTCGATGTGAGCCACAGAGTACACGTTCATCCTTCGATCGATGGGATGAAGGAAGGACTTGCTACATGTTAAAACAACGTGTTCGACGAATAAGTCTTTCTGAGTATCTCCTCGTTTGAAATCGATCGTTCCAAATCTTTCCATGAGAATACGCCTCCTCAATGTTGTACAACTCGGAGGTGCTCGCAGCCCTAGTTCAAGCTGCAGACTCAACAGGATGGTCGAGCCAGCAAACCAAGGCTATCTGGAATTATCTGCTTAACCAACATACCGTGACTAAGCTCTGGTCTGTGAGGGCTGGACAGATTGACCCCCAGCGACCGAGACATGTGGAGACCGATCTCGCCTTAGTCTATCACCCTATCGGCGTCGAAGGGTCGAAACCATTTCCTGTCATTCTCCTCGACACATTCAAGCCGAAGCTTCCATTGCAAGGATCGAACGCGGTGGAGCTCAATTTACAAGAAGTGAAGGAATATGAGGCAAGAAGTCCTCGATATCTATCCACCGACGCCGATTTCTTTGGCCTGCAACGGATGTGGGGTGTTTCGGCAGTTGGTCGGAAGTTTAAACTCTGGGTATGGGACGTAGAGGAGTTGTTGTGTTTGCCGTACACCGTGGAGGGTCGCGGTGGATGGCTAGACATTATCCAAGATGCATGGATCATCCAAGATTTTGTAAATGAGGCTATGGGCCATGCTGACATTCTTGTGAGTCCTTTTGCGTTGATACTGCGAAGGGAGAGAAGACCAGCTCAATCGTCTTACAAGGCTGATGCTATGGGCCAAATCCCTGACGGATTCCCCGATACGTAAGAAGCTGCATGAATTCAGGTTCTATTGAAAGAGTATTGACCTGCAGATGTTGGGACAATAGGTTGGTGGAATTGTTGGGGGAGGCCTTTAGCAATCTAAGCGCAAGCACGAATCTAGAACTTGGAAGTGGGTGATGAGTCATCTCCTGAGAATTCGACGTGCAATTCTGACCCCTCTTCTTTCGATTTCATACGGTCACGAAGACCTGGACAACTAACTCCAAGACAGATACATGGCCCACTAATATACCCCCCTTGTAGGATATGCATGATTGCTCTTGTAGATCAGATATAGTGCTACCCGGGTGTCTAACATTTGGCACTGGTTGTTGAACAAGACTCATACATTCCACCATATACGCAAATTTGCTTGCCAGTACTAGCATACGGGAAAATTCTGCACCGTATCATGTAGCGCAAAGAATTTATAAGCGCCAAGGCCGGAAGCAAAGTGCCACCTCGGACACGCGTCTTTCCGACTACGACATTAATTTCTCCTAGGTGACATCGTCAAGTTCACAGTCCCTCCCTATTTGAGCCCAGTATAACCACAGACTCATCCATAGGCCCAAAATGAGTGGCACAGGTGAGGGAAATTCCCGAGAATTACCTTTTGACGGGGCTAGGTCCCAATGATTTAATTGTTTTATTTCAGGTTGGCTTTATCTCTTCAGCGTTCTTGCTGCGGCTGCACTGCTCTTCACCATGGTTTTCTACGTATGCGGCATGCAGTGGCAAGCTTTGGCCACATCAGAAAGAGCTGATTTTGGATTTCGGCGCTTTCTATGCATTTTGATAGATAATAATGTTCTCTGACCTGGAATGCGACTACATCAACCCTATCGACCTCTGCCAGAAGCTCAATCAGGTACAGTCGTTTGTCATGGATGGCCGTATAACGACTGACGTTTCCTTCATTTCGCTAGTTCGTGCTGCCAGAAATGGGGGCACATGCTGCTCTCTCATTATTATTCCTATTTACGGGGCAATGGATGTCCTTCCTCCTCAATGTGCCGTTAATCGCATACAATGTGCAAAAGTAATATCTTCGTTTACTTTCCTATCGTCGTTACAGAATTCTTGCTGAAGCCCTGCCTCTCTGCTCACCATAGAGTCCGACAGCAAAATCACATGTACGACGCAACAGAGATTTTCCGAACGCTTGGTGCCCAGAAGAAAGAAAGCTTTATAAAACTAGGGTTTTATCTTGTTTCGTTCTTCTATTACCTGTACCGGTGAGTTCCCCACGTTTCATGAACGGATCCCCGTCCAGGGACAAGTAGTAACGCTGCCTTTCCCGCCCTTGTACACATTAGAATGATCCTAGCTCTCATTGCTGGTGAGTGAACCCTTCCAGACGCCTTGAGGTGTCCTTCCATGATCCACTAAAGAATGAATGATGTGTCATCTTCGCTATCTATCTATAGAGGAATCCTAGAGGACAATGTTTCATTGGTGGGGTGTTTGATCGGTAGGAGATCTCTCTCTCTTGGGAGGGCTGCAGTAGGAA